TATATATATATATATATATATATACTGTGCTATGAAAGATGTTATCCTACAATGCATCTCACATGAAATTTAGTGCACCTCATTTGTGTCAGATTTACACTACTCTTAGATTTTTTTTATATTTTAAGTCTCTCTTGCTCACCAAGGCTGCATTTATATATATATATATAGTGTGGCGCAATATGTACTATATGTATAAAGTATACCTCTTTAAGTCCCTTTAGTGTTGTGGGATTCTCAGCAGTGGGCGCCCATAGCTTCACATCATGGTCCAAACCACTGGTGGCTAAACCTGGAAGATGAGGATGTGGCTCCAGACAGTTCACCTTAACACAGAAAGGGAGTATTATTTACATAAGATTTTTTTCAAACCAGAAGTTCAATGATCTAGTTCAATTTAGTGAAGTGACAGTGTCTTACCACTCCTCCCCGGTCTCCCTCCATAAACTGAACCACACGAGCAGAGTTTTTATCCCACAGGTAGATGTGTCCACAGTCACTGCCACTGACAACAAACTCACTATAGGGACCGTAAAAGTTAACTCCCTTCACTGAAGGAGGATTTTCCAATAGCAGATGGAATAAGAAAAAAGGGGGCGAGGATTAAGAACTGGATTGTATTGGTTATAACGTTGATGTATAAAGTTGATGCAAGCACTATACTGCAATGAAATCAAATAGAAAGTACCTGTAGCATTGTTGCGGTGACCCTTGTATCTCCTGCGGTAATCTGCTCCATCACTGTGGCTGGAGTCAAAAAGGTAAATGTCCTCATCATTGTAACTTGCCAGCAGTTCTGAAAGACAGTTCAACAATGACACACTTTGAATGTTGCTACAACAAACCATGTAAATGTAAAGCATGCAACCATACAAGAATCCCGTTCTGAGAGTTTTAAGTGTACATATTACCTGTGCCGTCATGGCTGTACAATAAACAGGTAATATTTGTTTTGGACTCGCTGGACACCAAGTGAGAGGGACAAAACTTCTTCAGCACACCATTATTATCGTGTTCATTTATTTTTCTCTGGTCATAGATCCTATCATATAAAGAGAGGAAGAGAGAGATGCAGTGAATGATGCAGGACAATAGTTGCCCAGTCATGGTGCCTTTGGAGAAACAACTGTAACAAGTATAAAGTTTGACAGCTGTATCAGAAGCAGCTTGTGATAAAGACAGCAGCATGACTTCTGTGCAAATGAGGTGATATATCAGCAATGATGTTTGTCTCACCTGACATACTGGTCTCTTCCACCTACAGCAAAGTGGTGTGTGTTGGCTGGATTCACGAAAATGGTGTAAAGCCCCACCTTCTTTTCACCTTCCTTCACCACCACCAGTTTGCTGAGAGATTAAAAAAAAAAGAAAAAAAAAAAGATTGGTTAACATTATATGCTTCACATAGAAAAAAAGTATGAAATGTATCCTATGAATCACACTATGTACTATCTACTCTAACTGCAATCTTACCTTGAAGAATTGAATAACATTTTTATAAGTTTGAGTGTAATGTTTTTGGGATCTAATGAGGAAGAATCTGATTGTTAAAACATTATAATTTATCTAACGTGACAAACCATTTTCTATTTCTTTCTACAGCAGATGTTCTTCTATTGTTGGCCTTTTGGCCATTTTTATTTTTGTAGTATAGAAAAAAAAATATGAGAAGAGGGAAACAGGATTGCAAGCAGAATATCAAACACATTCACTTTTAGGCTGCAGGATAAAAATATGTCTAAAAAAAAAAGTCAGGGCTGATTTTAGGATTTCTATGACCTAAGTATGAGCTGTTTTTATATGTAGCAAGTGTAAAAAGAGATCACATAATAAGATATTTTTAAGGGTAAGTAGACCAAATTTAGCCCCAATTAAGTGAGTCTAATGCTCTGAACCATTATTAAAATAGAATTATAACAAAGGCTACATTTATTTGATCACAAATACAGTAAAAACAGTAATATTGTGAAATAACTTTTCTATATGAATATATTTTAAAATGTAATTTCATTCTGTGATGGCAAAGCTGAATTTTCAGCAGCCATTCAGAACTGATTTGGTGCTCAAGATACATTTCTTATTAACATCACTGTTGGAAACATTTGTGCTGCTTAATATTTTTAAGGAAACTGTGATACATCTTTTCAGGATTAAGGATTCCGGATAGAAAGAACAGCATTTATTTGAAACAGAAATATTTTGTAACATTATAAATGACTTTACTCACATTTTTATCAATATAATAAATCTTTCCTGAATACAGGCACTCATTGCTTTTAAAAAAAAAATCTTACTGACCCCAAACTTTGAACTGCTGGGTTTATCATCTTGTTTCTAAATGTTACAGTTTTATAGCATCACTTCTCTGAGGAAGCATAATAATTAAGCCATTTCCATAAAACAAGCAATTAGCAGCATTTGCCACATTAAATAAAAACAACAGCTTGTGTATTGGAGGTGTTAAAAGTACCACTGTTAAGTAAGCCATATAATAACCTGTGACAAAAGCTTCCACTGACTCATCTAGCTGCTGACACAATTCTTTGTAGGATATCTAATCCTGCCCCTGCTCACTTGTGTCACTTTTCCTTTGGCAATCTTAGGGCTGTTTGTGACATGACTGTGCACTCACTTGGCAGGTCTGTCTAAACGCAGGTCAATGCCGAACACTACTGCATCTTCACCAGCGGAGAGGAAAGAGCAGGGAGAGTCTGGCTCCAGTGCAAGCTGAGAGGGAAAAAAGTATTTAAATCACAAACATTCCCATGTGACTCTTTTTATATCTTGCAATAAACAAATAAAACATATCAGTTGTGATATTATATAAAAAAAATGTTCTTTGTTTTTTTTCCACCACGACATGATTGAATGCTTGATTCAGATTTTCCAAGCTGTTGATTAATGAATGTATGTGACTGTAAAGCTCCAACTAGTCAAAGATTTCAAACCTGTTTGGTTTGAGGTAACCAATGGAACAAGCAAGTTGAGAACAATTAATTTTTGAAAATTAATATACACGCCAGAATAATGGCCACAACTTGAAACACCATGGAGTTATCATTATTTTTCAATAATGGGTCTGTCATAAATTATTTCTGTTAAATATACAATTAAACAAAACTTTTATGGTTGATCATACCTTATGAGCTGCACCTTTATGCTGAGCCACTCTTTTGGTGTTCTTGCAACGTTGTGTGGCAGAAAGCTCAGCCACTCTGATCTGTCCATCTCGGGCACACATGGCCAAAGTGGAGTCACCACTGTGTGGGAGGAACTTTGCCTGGGGACAGAATAATACAAAATAAAGAGGATGCATTGATTTAAATGCATACATTTTAAAATCTTCTTCTGGACATCTGAAACTAAGATTTAACACCTTTAGTGGATCCACACAAAAAGAGGTTTCTGTCTAACAACAACAACCCAATAAAAAAAGAAAGAAAATCACAAATAAGACAGCAGCTAAACCACTGATGTGGTTTTACGGTGCTTATTTTAATAACAATCACATTCTAAACACTTCTAAAGTACACCACTGTTCAAAATTTTGGGATCAGTACAATTTATATGGAAATTAATAACTTTTCAGTTAGGATGCATTAAATTGATCAAAAGTGCCAGTAGAGACTTTGTTACAAAAAAACATATTTTAAATAAATACTGTTCTTTTGAACTTTCTATTAATAAAGGAATCTTGAAAAAAAATACTGTTTCCACAAAAATATTAAGCAGCACAATTGTTTTAAACATGAATAATAAGAAATGTTTCTTGAGCACCAAATCAGCATATTAGAATGATTTTTGAAGAATTATGACACTGATGACTGGCGTAATGACGGCTGAAAATTCAGCTTTCCAATCAAAGGAAGAAATTATACTTTAAATATATTAAAATAGAAAACAGTTCTTGTTTTTAATTATATTTCCCAATATTATCCAATAAATGCAGCCTTGGGACGTCTTTCAAAAACATTAAAAACTTACTGACCCCAAACTTTTGAACAGCAGTGTTACAGTAGAGGTTAAAGGAACTGTTTTTGAAAAATCTGCAATTATTTTCTGACAAGATCATGTTTGCCATCAGTGACCTTAAATTCGGAGCGACACAGCAATGTGCCAATTTTTTTTATCAAAATGCAAAGATTTCAGAGCTTCAGACAACTGCAATCAGCTGAACTGCACTTGTTCACCTGAAAGACATTGCTCTTATGTCCACTGTCAAACTCCAGCTCTGCCCTTCTGCTAGCCCAGTCCCAGATTACCACGCGGAGGTCATCGCTACCGGAAGCCAGGCGGGTGCCAGAGGGGTTAAAGTGGAGGGTGTTCACGCAGCCCGTGTGTCTCTCCAGACGGCCCTGCAGTTCCAGCCTCTGCACTAGACCTCGCGCCCCACACACCCTCCTCACAAACTGATGCGAATCACGGCCGATCTCTCGGGCACGCAGCGACGGGACCGCGCACCACGAAGGGCGACTCAGGTCCCGCAGGTCTGCTCCCAGCCACGCTTCCATGGCTTGCTCATCTTCTTCCTCAGCATCCTCTTCCTCCTCCTCTTCTTCATCGTCGTCATCTGAACTGGAAGAGTGGCGTGTGGCTCCACCACTGGGTCGATTCCTCTTCCTGGCGGATCTCTTACTTTCATCTTTTCCCCTCTCTCTCTGCTCTCCTCCCTCACTCTCTCCTTCTCCTTCTTCAGTGAGAGAGTACAGACCACTGCCATCCATGCTGTCGGTGTCCTCCTCTTCTCCTGGTCCCTGCTTCTGCTCAGAGTTTGCCAACGCTCTGTCCTGACCATCCTCACTTCCCTCTGGGACTGAACTCAAATTTGCTGTCAAGAGAAATCTTGAACAATTAGTGGAGCACTGCTTATTTACATATCCTGCTGTCAAAGTGACTCCAACATTATCTAAGATTCCATAACAAATACACAAAAACAGTTCATGATTTTAAGGTGTGTTGGATGCATTAAAATGTTCAAAAGTGACAGTAAAGACACTTAAAATATTACAAAAGTATTCTATTTCAAATAAATGCTGTTGGTTTCCACAAAACTATTAAGCAGCACAACTGTTTTCAACATTGATAATAAAAAGAAATGTTTTTTAAGCACCAAATTAGCATATTAGATGATTTCTAAACGATAGTGTGACACTGAAGACTGGAAATTTAGGTTTGCCGTCACATTAATAAATTACACTTAAAAAATACAAATGGAAAATAGTTATTTTGAATTATAACAATATTTTACTATATTACTGATCAAATAAATTACAGCCTTAGTGAGCACAAGAGATGTCTTTCAAAAGCATGAAACAAATCTTACTGACCACAAACTTATGAACAGCACTGTATATGACAGTTAGGACTCTATTTGTTTCCATACCTGAATCAGGACTGGTCTGGGCCTCTGGCACTGCAGATGTATCTGCCTCCTCTCTTCCTTCTCCAGGTTCTGGATCATCAGAACCACCTGGTAAATCAAGCCCCATACTTAAAAATTGGCTACTTTTGCCATCATCTAAATACATCAGAGATTACAAGCATTTCACCCAAGACTTTATTCACTCTCATGTCGCATTGACCCCAGTCCCCATTTTATTTTATTTTCTCCCATGAAGCACAAAATGAGACGTTAATAATAATGTCAGTGCAGCAGTTAGTGACTGAAATGTTGGTCTAATCCTCAGGAATAGATCATATGAATTCAGAAGACAAGTAATAATGAGAATAAATTGCATGGACTTTTGTTACAATATTTCATGGCGATTTTTGAACCTAGGCATTCTGCCTAAGATCTTTTGTCTTTTATATTTGTATGACAATTTTCAGTTTTGGGTGAACTTGTACTTACTTCATGATTTACTTACCATTTGAGACATTGGATTTACCATCTGTATCGCACATTCTGTCTGACTGTCTCTTCTGACAGAAGAGACCCTATAAAAATTAAAGAGAAAATGGCTTGCTTCAATCAATCACACACTGGATATTCACTAGATAACATTATTTTCAATACAAAAAATTTGATTTGAGGGTACTGTTAAAGAATGCTTGATAGATCACTTAACGATGGTATTTCATATAGCAAGTGACTACTAGAGGTCTGATTAAAAAGCATGTCTTCAAACTGATGAACATAAAAAGAGACATTACTGCCATTTTGACAGGTGCTGACCCCAGATAGTGACTGACAGGATCCCTGATATCGGCTAAAGGTGGCAAAATAAGCCTGCTTCTATAGTAAATAGCTAGTAAACACCTGCCTCTAATCGCAATACCCATGACATTACCCTTGTACAGTAACAATTGAGTCCAACTGCAGACGACCCTTAGATTGCATCTTATAAGTTGCAGTTTGTACATTAATGTTAATGCCACATAACAACTTGATAATGCGCAGTAAACTGGCTGCGACTAGCTAGTGTGCTAACTAATCTTAGCAATTGCTTTTGTGGCATTACCCTGGTCAAAAATAGAAAAGCTGCTGGCTAATTTTGCAAGCGTACACGGATGTTGGCAGGCAAGTACTGTAGTTCTACAGTTTGAACAAAGAGAGATATATTCTTAAGATTACAAAAACGTCCCGACGAGGAAATATGGTGTAATGTGTCGTGCACGAAAAACACAAGTTCAACACGTCAGTTACGAGTGCTGACTCGAGCTGACAACATGTAAACATCGGTCGTTGAGAGAAAATGGAGAGCTAACTAGCGAGCGGTGGTGTTACCTCTACTGTAACGTTAGGCCCAAAGTCTCCGCACTTGTTAATCCTCTGCGCAGATTTCCCTTCCTTCACCTTCGAGTCGAGCGCAAACAAAAGCTCGACACATTAGTGAGATGTGCCCTCAACACGCTCAGGCACTGGCGATCCAAAAAAACCCGCAGTTTTAGGTCACGTTTTTGGTCGTGCCCGCAGTGTTTATGTTTTGGCTGATCTGCTTCGTTAGCACTTCTGTTTTTTTCCTTTCTCTTTCCTTTTTTCTCGCTTTCTTTTTCCGGCAAGACGCTCGTTCTCCGGAAGTAGGTCTAGATCCACAAACAAAGCGACGCTTAATATTACCATAGACTGTGTGAATATTACACTACACGCTGATAAATGTGATACATTATGTTCACTTTAAAAATACACATACACACACTAGGATTTTTTTTGTTCCCAATATTGATTATGAATACGCCATTTATGTTTATAATGATCATAATGAGATCAAAATACAACATAACACATTTATTATAATAATAATAATAATAATAATTCGAAAACAATTACAGAATTATTATTATTATTGTTGTTAGGCTATGATTATTATACCAATTGCATATTCACCATCAGTATTAAAAACAGCCTATTTATACCAGTAAAAGTATGTCTGAAAATAGTATTTTAATTAGATAATGATAATAATCAAGAATGCAAATATATAAATCAATAATGATGAGGATGATGATAATAATAATAATGAAGTTTTTATAATATTTTAATAATCTTATGATTATAATTAAAGAAAATTGTTATACCAATTCATCAACAGTAATAAAAACAGCAACATAACCTGTTTATACAGATAAAAATGTTGCCCAATATCTGATCCTATTTCATTTTATTTTCAAAATAATATTTAAATTTTTTTGATTAATTAGGGCTAATGATCAAGAATGCAAATAATAATAATAAAAACTTTTCAACATTTCATTAATAAACACATTCAAATTTATTATTATTCTAGTACACTGACCAGAGAGAGAGAGAGAGAGAGAGAGAGAGAGAGAGAGAGAG